TTTTCAATTTGCATAAAAAATATTTAGTTTTGTCATTGTTTTAATTGTTAGACAACTGGACTTCAATTTTCAAATTCTGTGGTGGCCCGCTTTTTACTTTTCCAAAGGAACTTAAATACCATTTAATTACTAAAGCTCATTCTCATTTGGATTTTAAAGAAGTTGGGTAAATATGCAATTGGAAAGAAAGTTGAAATTCACCAGGCCTCTGACAATTTATTGCTAATATTTGGCTTTCTCTTTACTACTGAAAAAACCACAAGTCAAGATGTAAATTGGTGGCCTATGGCTTTCTAGATTTTTTGCACATGTTCACTTATGAATTCGAGCTCTAGAATTAGAAAGAAAAAAAGGATTCGTGTAGTAGTTACACAGGCACAACCATCATTTCCTCTGTAAGCAAGGTTTTATTTTTCCTTTTATATCAAATTTTAAGAGAAGCAAATACATAGATATTGTGACCAAGATACCTTAAAAACCCAGAACAAGAAGGTCACCAAACAGAACCAAAACATGGAACCGAAACAGTAAACAAATAAAAGAAAAGAGAAAAATCCCAAACACAAAAACGATATCAAATCACAAACCCTAAATCAAACAAGTGATTAAAATTTTTAGGGGAGATGTAAACTAATCAAAGAGAAAATCTAGAAATTTTAAGTTAGAAAACTAACCTGAATCGAGATTAGAGAGATAGAGAGAGAAAGAATGAGGGTTTGATGAAAGGCGAAAGCTCGGGTGGGGGTGAGGAACTGAGAATCGTGAGATGATAATGAGATTGGCAAGAGTTTACATTTAGTTTTAGGTTATTTTATTTTATTTAGTTTTAAAATTTAAATGGGTTTTAAAATTTAAATGGGCAGTGGGCTGTTGTATGAGTATGATGGGCTGTGGCCTGGGCTAAGTTATATATATATTATATGTATTTAATTCGGTTAATTTGGTTAATTAACCGAATTCGAACATAATTAACCGTTAACCAAATTCTAAAAATTTTCTTAACCGTTAACCGACCGAACTAATTCGGTGGCCGACCGAATTAACCGAACTAATTCGGTTCGGTCGGTTAACCGAATTAGTTCGAAAATTTGAACACCCCTAAAACTAGGTGATATTAATAATGTTATCAAAATCATTTATAGATCCCTACGAATGAAGTCTCAAACAAACGAATCACCTGTAGTGGAAGACGACTATCGGATAGAGTAAAATCGTAATTGATAATTTAAAAAAATAAAAATGAAGATAAAAAAGACACAAAATTTACATGGAAAACCCTTGAATAATATAAGGTAAAACCACGGGCAACAGTAGAAGAATTTCACTATAAGAAAATAGTAATTACAACTTCTCTCAATCGACCAAGGAGAAAACAATGATAATTCTCTCTTGATAAAAAGGAGAAAACAACTCTCAAGAAACTCTCTAAATTTTCTCTTGATAAAAAGGAGAAAACAACTCTCAAGAAACTCTCTAAATTCTCTCTAGTATTGGAAGAAAGCTAGAATGCTTTGGGATCATCTCACCAAATTATACGAGGCCACATCGCTGCACAATAAAATTTTCCTTAAGAGAAAATTGTACACTCTCCGTATACCAGAATCTACTTCTGTGACGGAGCACTTAAATACACTGAACACTTTATTTTCTCAGCTTACATCCTTAAGTTGTAAAATAGAAGAACAAGAACGTGTTGAACTTCTACTTCAAAGTCTACCTGATTCGTATGATCAACTCATCATCAACTTGACAAACAGTAATATCACCAGTCTAGTCTTCGATGACGTTGCAGCTGCTGTTCTACAAGAATAAAATTGGCGCAAGAACAAGGAAGACATACAAGTAAATCTGCAACAAGTAGAAGCGTTGACAACGATGAGAGGAAGATCAACAGAACGTGGCCAAAGCAGTAGCCACAAACATGATAGATCAAAGTCGAGAAACAAGAAGAATTTAAAGTACTACATCACCTGAGCTGCCAATATATAAGAAAGATGATAAAATCAATAGAAACTTTATGCAAAAACATCCCATGCCAAAAATAAGGCAGGTAACTGAAAACATGAAATGTAAGATATAGACACTCAATTCAGGGGGTGTTTCATATTTGGTGCGTTCCCATCATTTTTTTTGCAATGTAATTGCCAAGAAGCTAACATTATAGTGTCTGGTATATAAGAAAAAATATTCATTAAAATATTAAAAAAATAAATTTATGCATATGATTCATTAAACATTATATTAAAAAATCGGATGAAATTACTCTTATCAAATAAAATGAATATTCTATTAATTTGAATACTTTTAGTGATATTTATTATTAATATACATTGAAATATACACTTTCTCAGAATTTTGTGACCTGTTAAATAAAACTTGAAGAAACAAATTCTAATATTTCAATGCACTTTAAGACTAAGCACTACTCCACATGTTTGTTGTGGCCAAAATTTGTATAGTCTAAAAATGGTTAATATAAATAGATTCAAATTATAATCTTAGGGGGTAGTATGACACACTAATCAAGTTATAGTCTTAGGGAGTAGAACATAGTTTTTCAACCAGTGCAATTATCAGTGAGAACTTTCATGAGAAAGTAAATTATAGACCATAAGAAAGTATATTGCGTCATTAAAGGTATTCATGAATTAGATAAATACCAAAATTAGATAGTGAAGACTTTACATATCCAATTATTTTTATTGGATTAAATAATTTTAATGTACTATTAAAATATACGGTAAAGAACGCAAATGGTCCCCGATTATAGGGTATTATTTTATTAAGTCGCTCGACTACTAAAAGTTATATAGTGTTGCTTTGTGGAGTCCATCGACTATTAAAAGTTACAAAATGGTTACTCGACTACTCATTATGTTTCAAACCGTCATTTTTCTTTAAAAAATTGGTTGTTGTTTAAGCTAGATGTTAACATGATGATTGTGATATGATAATCGTTTGAGATTTTGAAATCAAGTTTTATTATATTACAATTAACAAGTTAAAGTTAAACACAAAATATCTTCAGTTTTTAAAGGAAAATGACATATTTAGAATAAAATGAATAATTGGGTGACCATTTTATAATTTTAATAGTCTATGGAGTCAACAAAACAACACTTCATAGTTGAATAATTATTTTTATAACTTTTAATAGTCGAAAGATTGAACAATACCCTTAATCGAGTGGCTATTTGGGTTCTTTACCCTAAAATATAATAATGTTATCCAAGGAATTTATGATGTAATGATATAAAATATTATTTTGATTTAGATTGATATTAGTATGAATCAAACGATTTCAACGGTTAAAGAATTTGTTATTATTTGTTGAGGTCCTCAGTTTGAGCACTATATGTACAAAGATAATAACATTCAATATTAAATGATTAAAAGTATTAAAAAATATTATTTTGTATTCATTGTAGATTTATAAAAAAATTAATATTAATATATTTTATAAATAAAGTTAAATAAGTTAAGTTGTTTTTTAGTTTTTATCGAGATAATTATAATCATATGATATGAAGAAACACGATGATTGTGTCGGGGCCAAAAGCATGACAATTACTATTTTTTTCAATTAATTTGTGATGATATACGATTTTGAAAATTGCACATGATTATAATAATTCGGCTTTGGGAATAAAATATTGCTGCCATTTAAAATCTCCCTCTCTCGATTAATTTAAATCAAATACTACATAAGCGAGAATGATTATATCGGGTTGTTTTATTCGCAAATATTATATTCAAACTGTTAACTTTAATTAAGAGATCTAGTATCTTATCTCACATAATTTTTAACGTTATGTTTATTTAGATTAACGTTACAAGAATAAACTTGTTTGGCTGGGTGGCCAAATTATTTATTTTTATTATTTTATATAAATTTTTTAAATTTATTAGGTTTTTATTATTATTTTGAAGTACTCTTATTCTCTCCTTTAAATAAAATTAAAATGTAAAAAATAAAAATCAGCGTTAAAAAACATATTTTAAAAGTTGCAACCATAACGAAGCTATTTTAAGTACCCAGGCAGGTGGGTAGCCCATAACAAACGCCTTTTCTGTTTGAACTCTTCTTTGGATTCCACACCCAAAAAAAAAAACTGAAAACAAAAATAATAATTTGAAACTTTGAAATTTCTTTAATTTTTCAAATGGACACAACAACGACTGAATTCATTTATGTATGGTGGCCACAAAAGAAAAAGACAAGGGGGCAGCGAAGCTTCCATAACCTCAAAACTCCGTCGGCAGTCACTGAATCCTCCTCTCCGGCTCTCCCCCAACACCAAAATTCTTTCATCACTAACAGCAGCAGTCCCCTTCATAAATGAACTCTGCCCCCCATCTCCTCCTCACACACATGAATTCATTTTCTGAAACCATTGAACAATCGTAACAAATCACTCTTCACTTGATAAATTCCCTACTTATTTCGTCCACACGTGGCCATGAAATACTTCACATTACTATTCTTTATCTTACTATTTTAATGGCTCAAATAAATATAAAATCCAAAACATTAATTCTATTAGAATCGTTCCGTAAAATAATAATACTAGAAATTATAGGTCCGGACACATTATCTACAAGAATATTAGAGCACTCATTATTAAATAATTCAATGCTTCGGATGCGATACTAACTTATAATCTCTTAAAATTAATAAAAAATAATAGGAATCTGTCATAAATGTATATATAACACGGTTCATGGGCAATCGGGCTTTGGTCATTTTATTGGTTAAAGCCATGGCTACGGTTAGAGATACATGGGGAGGTCAAAAGCTAAGAACCCCAAATTTCCACCAAATCTCACTTCGAGGACGACTTTCTCTCATTTTCCATTTTTCCAACAGTAGTCCACTGCGGTTGACTGCTCCACAAAAAAAAGGCAATAAATCAATCTTTTGATTGTGAACAGCCCACGCACCGAGTCACTCAGTTTCACCCATATTATAAAATGGCACATTTCAAGGAAAAAAAGCGAAAGGTTGTGCTGCTGATGTATTTACCCTCCACCCCTAAAGAGAAAGGGACAATGGAGAAGCATAGGATGCTAATCCATAATCATCAACAAATACCCAGATTTGCTCGCCATTGTTGCCTTATTCTCTTCTCTCTTCTCTTCATTTCCTCCGCAACAGCTCAACCGTTTGATTACGCCGATGCATTATCAAAGAGCCTCCTCTACTTTGAATCCCAAAGATCCGGCCGCCTACCCTACAACCAACGCGTCTCTTGGCGAGACCATTCTGGCCTCACCGACGGCTTGGAACAAGGAGTATGGATGTCCCCCCGACCAGAATTCCCTAATTTCATTGAAATGTGTAAAAAAAACAAATGGTTTGCCTAACTTGAAAAGGTTTTTTGTGTTTACTGTCATAGGTGGACTTAGTTGGAGGATACTACGATGCTGGCGATCATGTCAAATTCGGACTCCCGATGGCTTTCACGGTGACGATGCTGTCGTGGGGTGTCATCGAATTCCGAGATCAGATCGTCAATGGCGGCGAACTAGAGCATGCTTTGGAGGCCATTAAATGGGGGACGGATTACTTCATTAAGGCACACGCCAGCCCAAATGTTCTATGGGCGGAGGTAGTTACATTTCGCCAAACATTTAATTAAGTTTCATAATTATATAATATCAAACACATTTTGTTGGCATTAGGGTGGGTGATGGGGACACCGACCATTATTGTTGGCAACGACCGGAGGACATGACCACCTCACGCCGAGCCTACAAGATCGACGAGAACAACCCAGGGTCGGATCTTGCAGGCGAGACAGCAGCGGCAATGGCGGCGGCCTCCATCGTGTTCAAGAAAACAAACCCGCATTACTCTCACTTGCTCTTGCACCATGCCCAAGAGGTAAGTATTTAAAGGAAAAACAAGGTCATGTATTAGCTTATAAACTAACAGTACCATATGATGATTGAGACTAGAGGCGGCGAATTTTTATTTTGTTGTAGTTGTTTGAGTTTGGGGACAAGTATAGAGGGAAATACGATGGGAGTGTAGGGGTGGTGAAGAGCTACTATGCGTCGGTGAGTGGGTTCATGGATGAGTTGTTGTGGGCAGCTTTGTGGCTGTACGAAGCCACCGACAAAGAGGATTACTTCAAGTATGTAATTAACAAGGCTCATTGTTTTGGTGGGATTGGTTGGGCCATATCTGAGTTCAGCTGGGATGTTAAGTACGCTGGCCTTCAAGTTTTGGCATCAAAGGTGAAATTCTCTCCCCACTTCTACTTTCCTTCCTTTTTAGGCTAAAACTAAAACAAGCCCCTAAACTTTACTCTTCTTTTGCTTCAGGTCCCTAAACTATTTTTTGGTCAAAACAAGTCTTTAATTATAATATGTAACCACTTTGAGTGCTCAAATTATTTTTTGGTCAAAATAAGTCCTTAAATTATGTTTTTTTTCTTTAAGCCCCTAATTTTTTTATAGAATGGGAAAAAATGAGGGGAATGTAAGAGTTGAGAAATATTTATCAATCTGTTGCTGTTATCACAGTTGAAAGTGAGATTGTCGGTTTAATAAGTCGGATTTGGATGAGCAACGTCGATGGTGGTGTGGTCAATTGTATGTCCACTCGTTAAATGTTTGGATTTTCCTTTCATTCTTATAGGAGACAAATCTTTAAAAAAATCTAAAGGATCCTATGTAGCTTTTCTGTTCTCTACCAAAGTCTCGAATTCAAATTTAGTTTAAATGATTCATTTCAACGAGTCTGATTCGAACAACATCTACAACCTTATTCTTTATAATGAACTTTTAAATGTTTATTTTGCGCAGTTGCTGTTGAAAGCAAAACTACAGCACGAGGCTCACGTTCTTAAGCAGTACCGATCCAAAGCCGAGTACTACCTATGCTCATGTCTCAACAAAAACAATGCCAGCAACGACAACATCGAACGTACCCCAGGAGGTCTTTTATACGTCCGGCAGTGGAACAACATGCAATACGTGTCGACGGCGGTGTTCCTTCTCACTGTCTATTCCGACTTCCTCCACGACTCGAACGAACACCTCCGATGCCCTTCCAGGCCGGTGGACCGTGAAGAGATCCTCAGTTTTGCGAAATCTCAAGTAGACTACATACTAGGGTCAAACCCTATGAACATGAGTTATTTAGTGGGTTATGGTTCCAAGTACCCCACAAGGGTGCACCACAGAGGGGCCTCCATAGTATCATACAGAGAAAATAAAGGGTTCATCGGGTGCACCCAAGGGTATGACAATTGGTATGGTCGGGGTGAGCCGAATCCGAATGTGCTGGTCGGGGCATTGGTCGGAGGACCAGATTGCCAAGATAATTTCATGGACCAAAGAGATAATTATATGCAGACGGAGGCCTGCACATATAACACAGCGCCGTTAGTTGGGGTTTTTGCAAGATTGCTGCAGCTGGAGGAAAGCCACGATCAAGAACGGGTTGCCTCCTTTTAGAAACAATATATGTATTGGGGTTGATGAGTATCGTGAAATACTTTGATTTGTGGCTGAAGTAAAGGAGTTGAAGCCACTTGCATTACTTTTACCTTCATTTTTGTTGAATGTTTATAATAGTGAAAATATACATATGCGTTTTGTATTGTTGTTGCAGGTCTCCTATTTACCAAAATGAGCACAGTGATTGAACCTTATTTTGACAGTGATGCTGCAGTGGAGATCATCCTACGAGTATCGACCCTAAAATTCAAACCACCGTTTATTTCATACGTATTAAATAATCTCATAATTGATAATTATAAGACCCAAACTATAATTTCGCTCGCCTTATTGTAAGGGACAAATATGACAAAGATTCATTCAATCCTTAATTTCGATTCCTCTTTTTTTTTTTATATATTGGTCCTTAAAGCTTTTTAAAAATTTAAAAGCAAACTTGGGATATATCACTTGACGACTTTTTCTAATAATAGACATTTAAAAAGATAATGGGTAAAATATTAAAACTTATTTTTAACTCAAAAAAATTATAAAAGGGTAAATGAGGCCCCTATACTTCCAAAAAAACCAATATGACCCTTGACATTTTTTGCACTCAATGTGACCATTGACAAACGATTTCCGTCGTTAACCGTTGCGATCCTGATGTGACATTTCACGATATTAATGTGACGATTCATAGTGGCTAGTAACGTGACTGATGGACTAAATTGATTTTTTTAAGTTCGAGGATTGATTTTTTTTACCCCAAAAGTTTAGGCGCTTATTTTATTTTTAAAAAAAATTAAATTTAAAATATAAAAATATTCAAAAACTTAAATATAATAATACCAAAAATAAAAATTAAATTATTCAAAAATAAAAAATATAGCACAAATTTTATTTTATATATTTACATATAATTATCTTAAATTCTAAATGTATTTTTAAATTCTATTTCACTAAATATTTATAACAATGAATTAAAAAAATATAATTATTATAAAAAATAATTTTTCTGACCGTGAAAACGCCAGCTTTATTTAAACCAAAACAAAACAAAAACAAACAAACCCCAACAATTGTAACCGCACTGACTAGAAACTAAACAAAACGCACTAAAGAGAAAAGGCAAATGCTGGCCTTTTCGTCTTCGTACTCTCCAGATTTCTGTCGAATGGCCATAAGCGAAAAGAGAAAGAAAAAAAGAATCGACCTTAAGAACTCCCCAAACACAGAGCAGCTAGGGGGATCCAACCATCGTCGTCCTTCAGAAGCTTGCCGCTCAACCATTCGAGGTGCCTCTTCAATCCAGAAGCTATTCTCGCCATTTAAGCCATCCGCAGCAGCTAACCGATGGGCCACCTGATTACCGGCACGAGGAGTATGACGAAAGCTACACCGACGAAAAGCCAACGCCCGCTGTCGTGCCTCCCAAATCAGCGCACTGATCTCCGATCTGTCCTGGGTAGGCGAGGAGAGCTTTGAAACCACTGTTCGTGAGTCCCCTTCAATCTCTACATCATCGAAACGCAAATCCATGACAAAAATTATCGCAAGCATGGCAGCATATGCCTCGGCCATGAAAGCGGAGGTAAACCTCGGCACCCTTATGCGACAAGCTCTCATTATATGACCTAATTCATTTCTTACAAGCATCCCTGACCAAGATGCCTTTTGATGGAACAAAAATAGAGTGTCAAAGTTTGCCTTGACTGTGGGAGCACGAGGTGGTCGCCAGCAAGGTTGGAGGGAGATTGAGAATTGCTCCTGTCTCAACACATCACGAGTTGGTTCTCGGTTATGGGATCGCACCAAAGTAAGTAACTCCTACCCCCTTAACAATTTTCCTTGATGGTAATGAAGATTCCGGTTGTACCAAAGCGCTCAAATAGCGATTAGAATCTCAGCATGTCGTTTTTGTTCATAGTTTGTAAATATCCAGTGGAACCACTCTAGCAGATTTGACGAGGAAATGCTATTAGGCCAGTGAATACCTAACATACCCCGTAACTGGTTTGCCAAATGACAATCTCGCACTGCATGAACTCTTGATTCGATTGTTCCCACACATCTTCGACAATAGGGGTCTGTAGTAACGCGTCTAGAGTAAAGATTTTCCATAGTAGGGATAAAATTCTGGAAAAAAAAAAGTCGAACCTGCAATTTAATCTTTCTTTGACAAGAGCAAGGCCTGATGAAATTTAATACGGTTTTCACAGGTTGGAATAATTCGATCCCTGGTAGTAATAACCTGTATCCACTCTGGACACTATATTCACTCGATCATTCTACACTCCACACCCTGCTTCGAGACAGTGGGATATCTAAAATTCGGGAGGCTTCCTCAGGATTGAAAATACAATTAATCATATCCTCATTCTAACAATTAACCTCACCATTTATTAAATCCGCAACTCTCTCGCAATAAGGGTCGCGAGGAGAGAGTATTCGGACGGAACCCGGCCTGGTAATCAGAAATCATTCCATATAGAAATAGAATGTCTCGACCCTACCTTCCAACGTAACCCCTTCTCCAATAGACCTATGGCACTCCAAATGTTGTGCCACACATATGATGGTAAAGATCCAAGAGCAACACTCGTAAAATCTCCCGAAGGGAAATACTTTGTTCGGAGAACTCTTCCCACTAGACAAGACGGGTTCATCAGAAGAAACCAACCCTGTTTCGCTAATAGGGCAATGTAAAATTTTGCCATATCACGAAAACCTAACCCCCATATTCTTTTCAATGGCATAATTACTTCCAAGTGCACCAGTGAATGCCTCGTTTACTCTCAGATTTCTGCCACAAAAAACAAGCCATTATACTCTCTAATTCCGAACACAACCTTGGGAAGAAGAAACATATTCATAGTATAGAAGGGGATTGACTGAAGAACCGACTGAACAAAAACTTCGTGTCCACCTTGAGACAGAACCCGAACACACCAATTCTTGATTTAAGTGTGAAACTTATCAAAAAGGTACGCAAAAGCCCTCGCTTATTCCGACCAACAATAGCCGAAAGTCCCAAATACTATCCAAATTTGACGAGGAAGAAATTTCAAGAACTCGGCAAACATCATCCCTATTACGATCAATCACATTTGAGCTAAAAAAGACTCTGGATTTGTCAAAATTAACAAGTTGCCCCTAGCTTTCCCCATATACTCGTAGGATTGCCTTAACCCGAGACGCTGAAGAAGCTGTAGCCTCTCTAAATATAAGACTGTAATCCGCAAAGAAGAGGTGGGAGATTGTGGGAGCATACCTATTAATCTTCACCCCGGACAAGTCACCAGAAGCTACTCCCTGATGAAGCAAAGAAGACAGACCCTCTCTGCAGATTAAGAAAAGGTAAGGACTAAGGGGGTCTCCATGCCTGAGGCCCCGTTGAGGAAAAAACCGCTCTCCCACAATGCCATTAACAACCGCTGAGTATGAGACAGAAGAGAGACACTTCGAACTTGATCACTCCTTTGAGCTGAAAACCCCATCTTTTCCATAACTACCAATATGAACTCTCACTCCACCATATCGTAAGCCTTGCTCATATCGAGCTTCAGGGCAAAAAAAAAGTTTGTGCCCCATCCTCTTCCGCATCATATAATGAAGAATTTAATAGGCAACAACAATATTATTCGAAATCAGTCTACCAGGAACAAAAACACTGTGCACCTCGTCAATGCAAAAATGAAGCAGGTTATGTATCCTATTAACCAGCATTTTCGAGACGGTCTTAAAAATGACATTATAAGCTTATTGGTCGAAAATGTACTAACCGAGTCAGATTCTCCTGTTTTGGAATGAAATCAATATGCTTGTGATTTATTGAATGCACATCGAACCTCCCTGATAAAATACCAATGCAGAAATCAGCAACATCGTCATCCACGACATGTCAGAACCGCTGATAAAACAGAGCCCCTAAGCCATCTTTTCTCATTTCCTTTAGAGCAGACAGATTTAATCGCTGTCATCACCTCATCCCTAGTGAAAGATGTCCCTAACGTATCGTTCATCTCCTCTGTAATAGTAACATTTATACCGTTCAAAATTGAAGGATCCAGGGTAGTAGAATTAGACTCGAACAAAGTCTAAAAATAACTCCTTGCCAAATCAGCAATGCCCTCCTCAGAATCAAACACTTCCCCATCCTCATTCTCTAACGAAACAATTATATTTTTACACTTCCGCTGAGAAGCAAATCTGTGAAAAAAAAGCCGTATTATTATCACCATTTTTTAACCCATTCACCCGTGCCATCTGTTCTCAGTAAATCTCCTCTTTATCAGCCTCAAAATTAATCTTTAATTTTGTGTCGAGGATGTCATCAAGCACATGATCTGTCGGTTGACTACTCAACAAATCATTCAGTCTCTTATGTAGCTCATTTGACGTGAAACGTTTCTCAGAACAGATACGCTTAAACCATATATCCAAGCCATGGCTCAAATAATTCAGTCTATCTGGAATTAGACCCTCAACTTACTCCCATAAACGTCGTACCTCCCCTTTGCAGGGCTCCTCCAACAACCAAGACGATTCAAATTTAAAATTCTAACAATGCGCCATACCCATTTCCGTCTGTGTTGAGAAGTATCTATCCACGCCTTATTAGCTACCCATAAACGTCTTTGTTTTACGATTGATGATGCGCCTTTGCGTCAACTCACTGATCCTGCCAATGCTTCTTTCATGGAGGTAATAACCTGTACACTTTACTCTGTTATTTGATCTTTGCATGGCATATATGTCTTTGATGAATTACAAGACTTTGGTTATTAGGTATATTTCACACATATGCGTGGCTGATGAATTACAGGGTTTAATTTGTATATATATATATATATTTGTGTTTGAAGGCTTACAGATTTAGTTTTTAGGACTTAGGATTGTTTTTTTTAGATGTTCTAGTTTTATATCAATTGTCTTTAGAAGCTAATCATTAACGTTCCTTTGTGACTGAAGCTTCTTGATTAGCACTGTGCATTATTATTGTTATTATTTTTTTTGGGAACTTTTGTTTATTTGCTGCTATCTATTCTCAATCATACTTAATTGCAGAGTGTGATGCAGTTTCAATGTCCAAAAGAGCTTCAACCAGCTGATCCTATAACAAAAGTGGAACTTCACCTCCTTAGACGGGATGAAAACTATTCTGT